AGGATATATGGATTTTATGATGAATGTGTGTATTTTATATATATATATATATATATATATAAAATACCCACATTCATCATAAAATCCATATATCCTATTAATGGACGCGCATTCATGGTTTCCTCTTAACAAGAAGAAATTTTCTGGATACTTGATTTTATAGGCAAGAAGAAGACAAATAGTTTCCAACGATTGTTTCCCTCTATCAACGTAATCTCCTAAGAAAAGGTAGTTGCTTTCGGGAGGAAAACCACCGTACTCGAACAATCGTAACAAATCATAATATTGTCCATGAATATCACCTTACAAACAAAATTATACAATATCAATGAATAAAGTCAATATTAAATGACTAAATGTCATCAAAATTATATGGATGTAGTTTTCCTTGGAATCGTAATTTGATATAGTTTGATGTATGTTTATTTGCTTACCACATATTTTCAATGGTGCCTCGAGTTCTAAAAGGATGGGCTGTGATAGAAAGATTTCACGTGACTTGAGACACAGTCCTCTAATCTCCACTTCTGTCAACTGAACATTTTTACCTGGTCTTGCTCCTCGTACTAAGCAATGGAAAAAAAATGTTTATATGAAAATCATATGCATTGTAAGCGTAAATTTTATCTTATCTCCTACCTTTTCTAACATAATTACTAAAATCTTTTGATAAAAGAATGAGAGAAAATGTCAAATATCTTTTTGTTAATCATTCCTGTGTTACTATAGCATTGCAAATATTGTCCGAGATAATATATTTCCTTATCTTTAGTATTTTTCTACAAGAATAAGTATATGCAAATAAGAGATAAACAATTTCATATTTTTGAGAAACATATACATAAAAAATTTACAGAATCGGACATTTAAGAAGCACAAGTTATACAAAAAGATAATGTAATACAGTGTATAAATAAGAATCTTATCTCGAGGGAGGAAGAGAGAGAGAGAGAGAGAGAGAGAGAGAGAGAGAGAGAGAGAGAGAGAGAACGTCTGCTTATTTAAAACTTTTTCACGCTCCTGACGAATGGTTTCAAAATATCAATAACGTGATAAAATGGCTCGACCTAAGACAGTACTCTCCCAAATATATAACAAGGTTCTCTTCACGAGCTAATCATTTCGCCGTACAGTTGGCAGGACGGCAGGACCTCGCCCTGCTCGCCCAGAAATCAGAATCGCGACGAGGCGTATATAGTACGTATACGATATTGTGAAGTAAATGCGCATTTTTGTGTAAACAAACTAATGCGCGTGCCATTCGATGAACGAGAGTCGATCGGATCATAATTTTCGAGGACATTGCGTAATGCTGACGGGACCAAGATAATGGTCGGGATGGCGTTTCGATATGCTCTGGAATAGTGTGTGCATGCGTATGAGGGGGAGAGAGAGAGAGAGAGAGAGAGAGAGAGAGAGAGAGAGAGAGAGAGAGATGGATAGACCAGAAGCAGGAATCGTCGTGGTACATTCGAGAGTATAGCGAGAAAAATCGCGGACGCGAAGGAAGGAATGGGGACGCGGGGATGAAAGGAGACAGGCGGGGGAGGGAGGACCGGAGGGAGACGGGCGAGCCGAGCAAGCGATGTACGAGATTGTACGCTCTCCCACCCTTTCGCTCCTACGTAGCGACCAGCGTAGAGCAGCGATCGACCAGCTTTACCTTCCAAGAGACGAGCTATGATGTTGTCGATGTTCAATTTGTCGGTCTCAGCCATCGGGCCGGAGTGTCGTGCGCGTTCCAAACTTGATACGGGGCACCTTAGTACAGAGATAAACGTCGGTTCACCGAAATTTCTCACTTGTGTGCCGTACGACACGGAATCGCGCTCGCAGCTTCGTACAAGTTACTCGCAATGGCCGTCCGGAATCGCGCCGCGCGCGCGCACTCCACTCCCTTTCGCCTCTCCACTTCACTCCATTCCACTCCACTTCTCCCACTCTCTCAAGTCTACTCACGTTCCATGACCCATGTAAGTATACACTCGCTTCCTCGAACACACTCGCAAGTCGAGACCCTTGCAACATGCGCGCCACCACACCTTTCGATTCTCAAAGTGCCATTGTGCTTGGACTGCTTGGCGCAGTTGGCGGGCGTGACAGTCGGCCAATGTGCATTGGACAGATATTCATAGGCCGGTATCAAGAAGTTACGAACCAATCAGAGGGCTGCATTAGCATCTTACAACATTACTTAAGACGGTCTTGAAATAAGAATCGACTATGAATACCGGCCATAGTCCATTTTTATTTCAAAATTGTCTTAATTCGGAAGGCTAAATCGATTACCGAACTTGATCGAGGTCAATAAGCGGACTTAAGATGGTCTTGAATATAAGATCTGACTATGAATACCGACCTAATTGTAAGTAATCCAAGCTCAATGATATAATAAAAAATAAGTTGATTCGATGTGATCGTCAAACATGTTTTACAGATTAATGAAAATAAATCTTAAAATTGAAGCAAAGTCGAAAAGTATTCGATGTTTCGATATAACTTTGGATTGAAGGAAATCGATTGTCGAATCGATAGTGACAGCTGCTGAATGCTGTCAAAGCCAAACGGACCACCGACCGGACGGTATGGCCCAATACGAATGAATACGGACGGAAATACGGAACAATACGGATTACCACGATATCATACATCATACATACAAATACGTACGCGATTGTAGCAATTGTCCAACTGTCGGCGAGCGTATAATTTCTTTAGCACTTTATAGCTTTCTAGCCAGTGTTGATAAAAGATGCCGGAGAATGTGGTACGTACATATATTCTTTGATAGGATTTTTTCCCTCTTCACGTTTTTCATTTAAAGTAAAATTTAGATCGGTCGATTAAGATCGCGTTGCGATCAACAATAGGTTATGTTACGTATTATTTCGAAATGGGTGCGTTTTGAATAGATGTTGTACTTTCTTCGATAACATTATTTTTATCTCAATTTTTTTACAGTTTTTCTCTCTGTATGTTTGAAAACGAATGAGAATTAATTCATCTGTCTTTATATATTTTTTAATCCTCGATACAAATTTTATATTTTTTAACTGCGAGCTTATACTCCGATTGGAATATTTGCTGTAAAAGTAAAAGAAGTGATTTCTTTTCTTTTTTAAGCTAAATGGTGATCGTATCGAGGTAAATGGTGAACCTCAAGATAATGATGAAGAGAATATTGAAAATGACGTTCATTTTGAACCTATAATTTCATTACCCTTGATAGAAGTATCCAACAATGAAGAGGATGAGATAGAAATGTTGAAGCTGTAAGTTAACTCCTCATTACACACCTATGAGTCATTTGTGTTCTGTGTATTTCTTTTCTTTGAAATACTAAGAGCACCTAGTCAAATACCAGGGTCTCTCTTCCTCTCTTCTATTCACAAAAAAAATATTCCTAAAAAAAGGTATCTAGAGTCAAGTTTTGTGCCTTGCCTCAATGCTGGCCTGAATTCATGCACATTCTTTGATTAGAATAACTCAAAATTCATCTCTGGGTTACAAATAACCCATCCTGTGTACAGAGTGTACGATTTTTGTAACTAAAAAAAATTTTTTTTTTGCAAGAATATTTTGCAAGTTGTTAAAAAACAAATTTGATCCTAGAACGACATATTAACCCTTAATAAACATGATGGTTTTCAGCACTTTTGTATTATCTGTAATGTTATTAAGAATATTTTCCTAATAAATTACAAGTTTTTTTAAATATAATAATAATAATAAAATCCATTGTTTAAAATATAAATGCAATATATTTTCTATAATTTATAGCCATTCATGCATATTAAAAAAAAACATTTTCAGATTACTGAATAACTAAATTTTTCCAACAGCCGATAATTGAATTATTTTTCTTTTGTAGTTTGGAATGTCAATTTTAAGATTGAAACATATTTTTCCTTTCAACATTTTTGTTTCAGAGTTTTACATTTTTGTATGAAAAAATATTTTTTTTCTCATTTTATAAACTAATTATAACAATTTATATACAATTTGTTATAAATATACAACTTTACAAGTACTTTCTAAAGATATCAAAATATACATAAAAATCGCTTAATAATTTTTATATGTTTATAAAAGTAATGAGAGAAAATTAATTCAAGACACGAAAGATTGTGTGTAGTGAAGGTGCCAAAAACTAAATGTGTACTAAGGATTAATAAGAATTTTCATTTTAAAGGAAACAATCAACAATGTATACACAAATGTTTTATATATGTTTTTATGTTTTCTAGACGGGCAAAGTTATATCGTTATGATACGTCAAGCAATCCTGCGGAATGGAAGGAACGTGGCACAGGAGAGGTCAAACTACTGAGACACAAAACGAAAAATACAGTTAGAGTAGTAATGCGCAGAGACAAAACTCTCAAGATATGTGCGAATCATTTCATCACTCCATGGATGGAATTGAAACCAAATTGCGGCAGTGACAGAGCATGGGTTTGGAGCGTACTTGCTGATTACGCTGATGAGCAACTCAAGCCAGAATTACTTGCGATACGTTTTGCAAATGCTGAAAGTGAGTTTTCAAGTGCTATATTATAGTTTTTACGTATAAAGTATACCTATTTTTATGTATAAAGTATAACTATCGCAAACTGTATTATCGCTAATAATATCATAATAATATCTTAGAATATTTATTTATTTGGGATAGATGCGTCAATGTGGAAGGAAACATTTGAAAAAGCTAAGAAGATTGTAGGATCTGAGTGTGAGATTTATGCTGGCAAAAGCAATTCGGAACAAAAGCGTATTGAAAGTGACAGCGAATCCAGCAGTGATGTAAGTTATAGCGAGAGTACTGATAATGAAGATCAAATGAAATCATTGAAACGGACTGAAGACTGTGAAGCGATTTCTCAGCAAAAGGATATCGAAAATGAAACGACAGAAGAGAAGCAAGTAATAACGAATGAAGAAAAAATAATCAATGAGATCGCAAAGTTAAAAGTAAAAAACGAAGGTGAAAAGCAATAATTATATATTTGGTGACACGAAAAAAAAAAAATATATATATATATACATATGTGTATATATATAAATAGTTTATCAAAAGACATATTCTGACAGACGTTACGGCAGACGTATTATATATCATTGTTTGAAGATTAAACATAGGTGCATTTTTAGCAATAACATAAAAAAAGCTTATTAAATTTTACAGCGATAAAACTGTATTTGTATAAACATATCTGTGATTTTTTTAACTTTGCGCGTACACACGCGCACGCGCAAGCACACACATTTTATGTTAAATTCATGTGAAATTGCATTTGTACTGGAAAAAATGTGTATGAGGGAATGTATGTTGACTCTCTCTTTGGCGAGAAACGAATAAATACAACGACAGTTTTATAAACAAACAGCCTTTTTGCTTTTTATTTGTTCATTATTTTACAAAGATAATTTATGCATTATATCACATGTTTTTTTATAGTTAATGATTGCGCAGTATGTTTCCCTTAAGAAGAGTGAAGTATGTTGAAGTATACATATACGATAATCGATATAAATTTGATCAATTCGTCTACTTTGCTTATTATATATATATATAAAACCTTAATCCACAACCTATCAACCTTTCATTTCCTTAGAGAGATTTTTAATTTTTTTTCTACACTGCGTTTTATGTAATAGATACGAAATTTATTTAACACGTGTTTCCTGTCTATTGCATTCGTGTAATTTGAGATTTTCCATAAATTTCTCAATTATCATATGCGTGAAAAAAAATGATTGTAAATCAAAAGAGATGAAAAAAATTAGACAATTGCCATTTTTATTTGGTCGTTGGTCATTGTCAATGGTTCAATTATGTGAAGTCGGGAGGGACGGAGATCAGCTCAGCTCCCAATGAGACTATTTCTGATACATGAAAGTAAATGTATTAAATAATTAATTTGACACAACGACCGATATTCTCTTGAATACGAGAATCGTATATTTTTAATATTTATTGTATCTAATTTACTTTATATTCGTTTGTATTTTGTGATTGAAAGTAAAAAATAATAATCGTATGAAATAACAAATCATTTTATATTTTGCATCAATAGAACACAAAGCGTGAGAAACATTTCATCACAGAGGAATAGACTAAGAAATGCAAAATAATTAAAGTAAATACAGTAGTATTCATTTATATTAATAGAAAATAGAGCATATTGCTCTCATATGTGTGCGCGCGATTTCTATTCCTATTGCTACTTTTACAAAACGAATGTATAAAATAATTCAAAATAGCACAACAATCTCGACACTCGGACGACTCAAATTTGATTGCTAGATATTACTTAGGTGATTATTGTATTATAATTTAAACTCTCTACAACTCGTCTCTCGCTGAAAAGGATTGCAAGACGTTTCGTCTCTCTTCCATTGTACGCTTCTTTTGATCAGACAACTTTCCTCTATAAAGAAGCCCCTGTACCCGCGTTTCTTCCGTTTGTACAAATATATCTCCCCGTTCGAGGATCTTCTCCATAGTCTTGACATAAATTTTTGCTGCCTCTCGTTGCTCTTCCGGTAAAGTCTCCTCAAAGATTCTTGCCTTCTTTAGTATTTCCTAGGAAAAAGAATAAACATATTTCATAGAGAGAGTTTAATGATACAAGAATGTGAAAATAAAACTATGGAATTATATTTTAATCGTTGCTTAAATATTTTCAAATAAATATGCTTATGATACAGCCATTTTGGCACAATTCAATGAAATGTAATATTGTCTTGTTAATTTTTTTTTTTGAATCCTTACCTGCCTGTCCTGCTCTTCCGCAGTTTTGAATTCTTCAGCTAATTTATCTAATCGTTCCACACATCCTGGCAATCCTAAGTACACTCTTGATCTAGATCTGATAAATCGCTTCAAGTATTCGCCCGTAAAATCAGATTCTCTTTCAGGAGTGAATCTAATTGGTTCAGATTTGCCCTGTACGAAAAGTAAAACTACCGGAAAATCATCCTTCTTAATGTTGTAGCGTTGCGCTAGATCAGAATTATCCTTATTGCCAAAGTCCTTTACGCCCACTGTAGCTATCAGAAGATCCTGTGAATCCTTGGTATCAGCCGCTACGGTCGCATATTGCTCGTGCTTGCCACCATAAGGAAATGCTACATCGAATTTAACGAGCACTGCCTTAAATCTGGAAATAACCTGCACAAAATATTACAAAAATAAATTAACTAAAAACTTGTATACATCGTAACATATATCTAAATATCTTCATATATCTGATATCGAGATTGAATGTAGAATGACAGTTTCTCAATTCATTTTCATGTGCAATATAGCCATAAAATATAAAAATATTAAAAAAAAAAATATCAAATCCAATTTAGTTTTTGTAAGAAGACTTTATTGACTTTATTGTAATTACATCTTATATATTTGACATATATTTGAATTGTAATATATCCACAATCATAACTGTACATAATTATGTAAAATAACAAATTTCATAGCATTAAAATATAAAATTCTATATTACAGAAAGTATATGTCAATATTCAGTCGATTTATTGGAATTTGATAAAAAAAAACTGATATCTTAGTTGTAAATAGAAGATGCTTATAAATCTGAGAAAAGTATAATGGTAATTAAGAAAAAATTTGCTAACGTGATTGATGACTAAAAATAATAAAAATTGGTTGAATTTTCTTGTCTTTTAT